GGAAAGAGGATTTCCTTTCAGTTTATTTCTGATGGCAGCTTTTTTTTCGAATTGTGTGCATAGCCTCTGTCCATCAAGCGGTTTTGAAATGAAATACTTTCCTCAAACGTTGCTTCAAAGGAGTTTGTAAGGCCAATCCATTTTAACACTTTGTGGGTGGTTGTTTAAAAGGTGTCTTCACATCAAGGATAGCTTTTTCGCTGAATCTTGTACGTGTGTTAGTATATACAGTCAACTCTCGCCTTGCGGACACCCCTATATAACGGACACCCCGATAATACGGATAGCAGATAAATTCCGGGCAAAAATAAATTACAGACACTTGACTGAAATAAACTCCCGCTATTACGGACTCTTGCTACAGAGGACACTAACTTAAGGTCCCTACAGTGTCCGCTATAAAGGGAGTTGACTGTACAATCGTGTCTAAAAACAGTCTCAGTGTCAGATATTTCGGCCGGGAATTTAATAGTAGGTGATGTAAGTTTGCTCGTTCGAAGAAACTCGGCTACGATGTCTGATTTAGTTATGCCCCTCAGGGAAAAAACATGTCGTCTAAAGTATGTAGTGTTTCCAAACTGTTGGTTTAAAGACGGTTTTGCTTAGAATTTGTGTTTCAATATATGCCATGAAAATGTTGGCAAAGGAAACTGCTGTCTTTGTGGCCATCGCTGTACCGTGGGTGGTGTTTTCCATGGAATTAGAGAGAATTTTCTTTCAGGATTAATATCTAAGCGTTTCCAGCAGGTAATGTGTAGTCACTACCCTCGTTTTGTGGCGTATTTGCCAAGACTTGTGACGTCCACTGAAACATGAAATGTTCGATTGTTCTCCTTTCTTAAAAAATATAATTTATAAAGTCGGTAGTAGCTTTAAGGTATGACTTCCGTGATTTTGATATTGGTTGTAGCAACTGATGTAAACGTATTAACAAAGGAGGAAATTCTTTCCGTTGGCCTAACAGATAAGTCATAAATTTAATCCGGTTACTTCCTAAGCAAGAAAAAATTCAGAGAGCTCTTCCTCATGAAAACAAATATCGATAATGTCGGTTCAAATGTTAATTGACCACAAATGTAATCAAGCCCCCACATGTAATGAAAATTGACCACAAATGTAATAAAACAGTCAAATACTATCCAAACCGTATATACGAGAAAGAGAGCCGTCCTCAATTTAAGTCGGACAGAAATAAGCACTGCGGTGCTCTTTCGAAACTCGAAAACAATATCCTATTGCATTTAATCGAAAGAGAGCCGTCCTCAAATCAACTTTAAGTACGAAAAAAATAAGCGCCGCGGCGCTCTTTCGACAAATACATTATTCTACAAATGTTTCTCGTTTTTTTCGCTATTTGCGATTATTTTACAATTTGGTGTGCGTGCGCTGCGCTTATTTTTGTCCGACTTATATTGAGGGCGGCGTTCTTTCGAGTATTTACGGTATTGATAGCATTTGCCTGTTTTATTACATTTTTTGGTCAATTTTTATTACTTTTGTGGGCTTTGTTACATTTTTGGTCAGTTACTGCATTTGTGGCTTCAGTCGGTTCATGTCGGTAGTCGGTTAATATTTTTCCTGTCGATAGTCGGTGATTTTTTTTCTCGTTTTGTCGGTAGTCAGTAATATTTTTCGCCCTTTGTCGCTAGTAGGTCATCCTCGGAGACCCAGGGGCAGTCAGTCGGGCCGGGTTAAAAGCCCCTGGGTACCGACCCTCACCGGACCATTTCCAAACGGTCAAGAGAATGCTGGTTCCTGACTGGGCACAAAAAGTGCTTTGCATTATTGTGCCCAACCGGCGAACAGCATCTCCTGAGTTCTTTTCGTGAGTTCGTACACGACGGCTATTATCTCGCCACAGTTGCCCGGTTCGTTCACCAAGCTTTCCTAACCAGAAACGAAGGAACTACAGATGAGTCGATAAACGTTTCGGATGCTACCAGCAGGAGCAATTTAATTTGCACTGAGAAAATTCTGTTTCTGACGGATCACAATGTATCCGTAAATAATACGAAGTTTAAGATGAAGCGGCGACGAGAAAGTAAAAAAAGCAATAGCTTGACAAGGTAAAACAACAACTTTGCTTGCCGTCACTGCACGATCAACACGTGAAAATGCCTATTTTCACGTTTTGTGAAGGATGTAAACAAGCAATGAGAAAAAGGTTTCTTTCTCTTTATGAACTTGGATATGGTTGATAGACTGAATTCAGCTCCAGAAGAGTTCGCTTGCATTTAACAAAGTAAGTGAGATGGAATAATCACGATAGAAACTGAAAAAATGTGACTTTACTCTTCATGCGACGTTTTCGTGGTTGTCAGCTGTCGTGGCATATTAAACTCCCTAATATTTACGAAGGCGTGATCGATAAAAGCGTGAATACCTGTTGTAAGCTCAAGCTTGTATTTTTGGAAAAGCGTATTTAGTTTTCGTGTAGACAGTGGTTGTCTTTACACTAGGCTGTTAAGTAAGACTTAACGGCTGCTAAGTTTTACTCAACCAAAAATGCGTGTGTGAAGGCCTAAGCAAAATCTCAAGTAACTTTACTTTGCATCTCATCAAAACCGACTTAGCGAACTTGCGGTTTCCAAGCTTTGAGAAAGGCGAAGCATGCCAATCAATCTTAATTACGTTGCGTGGAAAAACCTGAAGAAAAAAGATAGGTTATGTGTGAATATTTCTTAAGTTATTTAGGCTCTAGTGTAAAGACTACCAGTATTGAAATGTAGCGTTTATATCAAACTGAAAGATTCCTGACTATGCGCACTTCCTTGGTGTATGAGCCAGACATGCAAGCCGTGATCAAGTCAATAGACGTCGTGTACGAACTCACGAAAAGAACTCAGAAGATGCTGTTCGCCGATTGGGCACAATAATACAAAGCATTTTTTGTGCCCAATCAGGAGCCAACAATCGCTTGACCGTTTGGAAATGGTCCGGTGAGAGTCGGTACCCAGGGGCTTTTCCGCCTGTGCTTAAAAATTTTGTCGCGCCTTTTCTCCAGGCCCGACTGACCGCCCCTGGGTCTCCGAGGATGCTAGTAGGTTAGCTCCATTCACACCCTCTTGTATGGAGAGAAACGTTTGAGAAAAGACGTGACGTAGAAAAGGCTACTCCATAGCAGGAGAAGATGAGCTAATCTTAGCTCATTCTCTCTTGTCCATAGTCAGTAATTCATCGTTATTTGAGATAAATGTTATCTTTAGCCCATAGACGAAGCAAATAATGAATGATTGGCTCCCGTAACTCGGAATATCCTTGGCTATTCACTGTTTTGCGACCGGAGCCAAGATGGCGTCTCGTTTCGAGATTTTCGGAAGAAGAAGTTTGTGCCATAAATGAAGTAGTCGTACAAACAAATACCAAGAAAGCGACGAACTTTGGCTTGTCGGTGTCTACTGGTAGGTAGAAAATTATTTTAATGCTGAATTTGAAGCAAAATCGTAAGATGCACTCTTGACAAAATCCCCGAAATGTTTGTAAATTGTAAACAAAGTTCCTACTAAGTGACGTTTTTAATTTACAAAAAGTTGCTGTTTTTGTTTTTATCCTACTGATTTGGTAAATACTAAAACAATCTATCCTTCTCAAGGTCGGTGAACAGCTCTAAATATACCTCGACGCTTCGCGTCTTGGTATGTACACGACTATTCACATCCCCTTAGGGGGATAGTTGTATAATAATGCTGCTTTTTCTGACCCATAACCAGTCTTCCCTTTCTATTTAGAGGGGGGAATCACGTGGGACGGAACGCGTGACCGAAGCAAGCGTGAGAGATGATGGGAAGGACACCAAGTTCTCCTTCCCAACACCCCTCCCGCTTCCCTTGCTGACCGCGCTTCTCTCGTTAATGTTTTAGGAGACTGAGAGACGACTTGCGACGAGTCCGCTGCCTTTTATTTCAACAGTCAATTCTCGTAACGGATTCCAGTCATTACTTAGGAACAGCTACGGCAAAGAAAACGGCAAAAAAGCAATAGGTTTAGACAGGAGCCGATTAGATTGGCAAAATAATAAGTTCATTACTTAAGCTCCACAGTATTCTTGCCCCAGAGCCGACTCAGCTTAATTCTTGTCAAAACTGCATGACGAAACGAAAGCGGGCTCTGGGCACGAGAGTACCAGTTGGCCCCTTCTGTTGTTCAGTCATATTCTCTGACCCCCCATAAGACCGACATCTCTCTAAATCGGACACTTAAGTGGCGGTCCAATGGTGTGTGTGTTATGGAGAGTTGATGGTATTCATATGTTATCCAACAGCAGGTAAAATACATCCATAAAAGACTTAGCACTGCTGTTTGAACAAACCTTATTTTACTTTCTACAATAGCACCTGAATATCACTGCGACAAGGTCTGGTTTGATCATTTCATTTAGAAAGTCAAGAAAAGTTAAGTGTTTCCCATTCGGCTGAATATTTTCTACAGGATTTAATATTTTCCTTCTAAGGTAAAGCCCTAAGTTTCCATCAATTGCGGAGGTAAATTAATCTATGCCTGTCGGGAACTTTTAATGAGCGGACTGTTGACTAATGAAGTATTGCTGTGTGGGTGGTTGAAAGTTCAATAAAACGTGTTGTCTTGTCGTGTCCCAAATAAACACGTGTGGGTTTGATGGTGAACATTTGAGTTTCGTTCGCTACAAGGATAAGGCCAAGGGGAGGTCAGTATAAACTCTAGATGACAAACACAACTTACATTAACCAGTTTTATTTCTAAACCTTGTCTTTTAATACAGTTTTAATCTTTTTCGCTAGCAAATTGATAATGTATGATGATAAATGTATGATTTAAGCAGTGAAACTACATGTTGATATGCCTCTATCTTGTTCTACTAAAAGATAAATATAAGACATAACTGGTTAAGTGGAAGAAACTGCCGCCGATGTTATAGTCTGTACTGATTTACCTAAGAGTCAGCCGTTCCCCTCCCAACATTTTAGTTTTACCAACACTTAGGTAAACTGAAAGTTAGTAGACTTAAATGTGCAGTGCTGTTTTCACACAACCCACGTGTTCAATATTTCTTCTAAACTTAGGTGTTCTCTGAAACGAGTCAGTGTAACGTCGTCAATTACAATCTTTCGTTCAATTTCTTCGCAAATAGCCATTCTTCTCTCAGGATGAGTGTTCCTGTAGCAGTGATAAAAGTGAAGATCCAATGCCTCATAAAATCGGCCTTGAACACGAACCTTTGTTTCTTTCTTTAAAGACAGCCGTCTATCGTGATCAACGGAATTTCTCTTCTTCACATCTTCTTCAAACCGCTCGACGTATAATGTAATATCACCGTTCCCCGTCGTTTTCGGGTCGATTACTTTGCCACTAAAATCCTTCATATTGCTCCACTTGACATCTCTCTCTGTAAATGCGCGTAGCTGATCTATATTTTGATCAAAAGTAAGGAGCTCTTCATAAGATATGCGGTCATTGTTTTGTTGGTACGTTCGGCCAGGATTGACACGTCGCTGAAGTAAATGGATGGAATTTCGAGGAGCTTTCTGGGGCCTTGTTGAAGTGGTAGCTTCTTTTTCCTGTCTATACAGCGACCTATGCATCTGCTTATTATCTAGCTTGTCATTACTTTTCCTCTCTTGGTCCCCGCTAACTTTCTTAAATGATATTCCGGACTTTTTCCCAGTTTGGGGAATTGGTGGAAGTTCATTGTCGAATGCCAAACAAAAGTATTGATTTAACTCTTTCTCCGCGGGGAAAGATAGTGGTGCCTTAATACGTCTTGAGTGGTTGGTTTCAAATCTTTGAAAAGTTGGAAAATGCAGCGTTATGTCCTTATCTGCAGTGTCTACTGGACTGTAGGAAGTAGTGCTTTTTCTCATGATCGATGGTAGCTTTGCTTGGTTCGAGTGATCTATGCTTCTTAAGCGTCTGTTTGCCATTTAGACTGCCGTGCTGGTTGCGTTGAACGATGTCAGGTCGATATAGTCAGTCAGGTATTTCGATGCTTTGATCAGGTTCGTGTAATGACGGTGATCCAGGGGCAAAAGTGACCAAAAGATCAAAACAGCCTATTTATACTCATGTAAATGTTGGGCAATTTTATGTGAAGATTAACTCCAAAACGTGATTTTCAGAACAAGACCCGTCCACACCAATTGTCAATTGCCATTAACGTGAATACTATGGCATCACTCTTCCGACTGATTTGCTGTTCGTATATATTTTATTGATTCCAGGTGATTAATGACTTCATAGAAGATGTGTTTTTATTTTATTCTTCTGAGAGATGGTACGAGGCGGGATGTGCATGGAAAATTCGAGAATTATTCCCAAAAAATATCAACTTTTAGACCATTTATCATTAATCCTGCTGCACAGTCTCGGCAAGAAACCTTAGCTTGGTATAATGGTTGTTGGATCATTATCACCTGAGAAGAAAAGAAAAATTGATGATGTGTGTTAATTTAGTTTCCCTTGTTTGTGATGAATTGAAGTTTTGGTTTTCTTTAATAAAAATAAAATAGACAGAAAAATTAGGATAAAGGAAACGTTAATGGAACCGAAACGAATACGTCAGCCAAGTTAAATTTACGAGAAACGTGCAGAGTGTATCAGTACTGATTTACATAGAAACATGATAAGGACTATAAGGACAGACCCTTCGGGAGGTAGGCTTTTAAACATTGTGCTCGAAAAGTAGCATAACATGCTACTAGCAGTACTAGTGCCGGTATGTTTCTCAATTCTGCCAATAATTATGCACTTTTTTGAAAATTATGCTCATTTTAGCAAAATATGCAGAAATTATGTTTCTACCGTTTTTACGTCAAATTCGGTAAAAATACTTCATTAACTATGCAACAAACAAGTAAATGGCAAACATATTTGTCCTACTTACATCTAGAAATTTTAAGGGTGCGTAATTCTACGTAATTCTTTCTCTGAAAACTATAAAAATTCAAGTAAATAACCAGCACAAGGACGCCATCTTCGGTAACTGAGTTAGCTGTATGCGTATGCGTTGAATCCTTTGGAGAGAGGATCTCAATGGGGTTAGTAGATAGGTGTAAAACATTCAGTCGATAGCCGTAAAAAATTAAAAAATTTTAACCGTTAGTGGTAAATAGGCTAAAAATGGTTAGCCGTAAGAAAAATTGGCTCCTTAGGTTTGATAATTTTGAGGAAGGTGCTGAACTCACTTACGATCGTTTCAAGTGTTTCTTATTTCGCCACTTCTTTGACTCGGTACGTTCGCATTTCTGCTAGTGCTGCTTTTCAGGAAGGTTCTTTTCAAATGAACTGTCTTTTATCAGGAATGATCCTTTTCATGGCTCACAAAAGTTTGGTTGACTGGCAACAGCTTAAACTTTTTTTTCCTATTTTAAAACAAAGAGTTCATCTCATTTTAAGAGAACGAGAAAACTCATCTTCAAAGCCGTACTTCTCAGCTTGGCTCCGACACTTGTTGTGAGAGTCACAGAAATGTTCGAGTTCTCAATCTTTTTGCTTGTCCTTGTTTAGTTAATGTTGTACAAATCTGTTCTTCAGAGGGTAAAGACCCTATCGTGGTAGTAAAAAGAGAAGAGGGTAGCAAAAACAAAGCGACGCGAAGAACGAATCAGTAGCCCTTGAAGAAAAGGAAATTATGCCAAGATGCAAAAGACGACAAACAGCTTTGAAGGGAACGTATTTTTCATAGTTAACATTTCTATGCGTAAAATGACATTAGAAGTGGAATACTTTAAAAGCATGATCTATCAAATATTAAACATTTTCAAAATAATAATTTATTTCATCCCGAGATGATCCCAGGACATTTATTTGCTTTAGAGATACAAAAAAAATACAGGTTTATTAATATTTAACTCGTTGAAACAGTTAAAAGACAGCAGCCCATCAATTGGAGCCTCCATCTCTATTAATTTCTGGAGTCAACCCTTTCCCGAGTAGATTTAAAAAATAGAACGGTTTGTTTCGTGCAAAAAGTGTCATTGATACTTCTGTGAGTTTCGTATGTCACCGTGAAAAAATACTGTTGGATGAAGTCGAACTCAGAAGCCCGTCCTTCGACCGTTTTCCTTTTTTTACTATACGTCCATTTTTATTTTTTACAGCCACTGATTCTTTGAAACAAAAGAAATTAATTTTTAACTTTTTTGTTAACCGTAACTAAAAAACAATTAACTGATAACTTGTTACTAAAAGTTGCCCGTAACACTCATCTTGCGTCAAAAAAAGAAAGGATAAAGAAATGACAGTTTTGTGCTGCAAAACTAGCGAAACGTGCAGTGCTGCAAAAAAGGAAAAAAAAAGAAAATCATGCTCGAAATGACGAGTTATGCTAAAAATTATACATGGTGCTAAGAAAACTCAACCGTGCACAAGAAACAAGTAATTTTTTTTTTCTTCTTAGTGTGAAGTGTGCCCGCTCATACTCGAGTATCAGGGTACTCTCAGAAGTAGCACCTGCCACTACCTTTAACGATCAGTCTTAACCAGGAGCGCATCGGGTAATTTATTAAATTTTTTTTTATGATACCCAGATCCCAGCGACTGTAAAATATATAAATGGAGGTATAGTAAAAAAAGGAAAACGGTCGAAGGACGGGCTTCTGAGTTTGACTTCATGTAACAGTATTTTTTCACGTCGACATACGAAACTCACGGAAATATGGCACTTTTCGGGGGAAACGAGCCGTTCTATTTATAAATCTGCTCGGGAAAGGACTCCAGAAATTAATGGAGATGGAGACTCCAATTGATGGGCTCCTGTCTTCACTGACGTATTCAAAAAAATAATTTTCTTTTATTTCATTACAGAAAGTTGTCTTTAACCAACCGATTTACTTTCCCTATATTCGGTATCCCTGCCCACTTACATCAAAGCTTGACTGAAAATTCGTTGCTACGTATACTCGCGTAAAGGCTTCGAGTCGAGGCTTGAGGTGACCAGGGGCCTGTTTCTCGAAATACCCGGAAATTTTTCAGGCCCGAAGGCAAATTTTAAAATCAAAACCTGCTGAATATTACGAGCCAAGTTCCTAGCCCGCAAACCAGTCAGTCTTGCTTCGTTAACTGATGGTTTCGTTGTATCGTTTTCAAAATTACTGAAATTTCGATCTTGAATGAAAACATGGCAAACGTAAAACAGCTTTCCGGGCCCGAAAAGTTACCGGGACTTTCGAGTAACTGGCCCCAGGACAGGAACCGATTACTAAACGGCTCCTTGGGTGGCAAAATGCAATGATTTCATTGAATTTCGCCAGTTTATAAACAAGAAAGACACAGGGCTGAGCTACATTTAGCAAAGACTTCTGGGACTCTCACTAGGAACAGAAAAAAAAATTGGCCAATAGCTGATCGGCACTGACATCCCCAGTAACGATCCCAGGAACCGCTGCGGGACACATTTTGGTTCCAGTTCCCTTCTCGATTCTAAAGTGGCGAAAGGAAAAGTTGACCCTAGCCTCGACCTCGTTTCACTGATTGTGTGCTCACAGAAACGCTCTACCGTAAACTGCCGCTACTAAGCTTCCCCACTTACTGGCCCCTCCCCCATCTAGCTGTAAAAGAAAAAAGACATCCGATTATTAGCCTTCCAGATACACCCCCTCTCTGAATTTTATTTATTATGACGTTTTGTAGTTTGATTGAAAAAAAAAAAAAAGTAAATGCAAATTGCATTTTGATAAGCAGGTGCTTTAGCTGGCTTCGAAGCTTTTTTCATTTATTCCAGTTGTAAATCCCCTTAAATTTAAGCCCCTCCGTTCATAAACCCTCTTAAAACACCTCTCGAAAATCTGTAAGCCCAGGGCTTATAAACGGCATTTTACTGTATTGCACCTTGAAACTCTGAGAACACAGCTGACCACCAGGCTACTCTGTAACGTCTTCCTTTTTTTGTTATCTATTCATTTTGTGAAGCCAACTGACGAGAAACAAGTGCTCACAATATTAAATTAAAGGGAAAATAATATGTATTAATGAATTTGATTTCATATCGGAAGATGTTGCCTTCTGGATTGACTGCTGCTTTGCCCGTATTTCATGGGCACTTACACAGTTGGCCAAGTCGATGTTCTTTATAATTAGGAATTTTAAGCTCGTTAAATGTTTCTTTTTTTCATGTTTTAATGCGCGATAAATAGAGAAAGGAGGTAAACTGAAACACATGAACGTGAGTGAAAATCCAGGAATAGAAAAATATTGCACTAGCCCGCCTTACTAAACAATCCCCTCATTTCAATCCGTGGCATTTATCATACGAAAACCACGTTTCTGTAAGGAGATGACTGGCCCGCGAGCAAAGAAGTGTACCACTCAGTTGCTAAAAAACACCGGCGCTCGCACATCACGATTATCGCTTGGAGAGCTTACTCTCATGAGTAAGTGACTATATTATGCCTCCACCATGCGAAAACCTCTGTTATAATGGCTGCTGACACGTTTAAAGGAAACGGAACAGTGACGCTACATGAACACATTGTTAATTGTTTGGTCCATTTGAAACACGTGATTTGTGCTAAATGCGTATATACACTTTCTGGCAACAACAATCAGTACTCAGCCTACGTCAAGGGAAGACCCTTTTAACTAACCAGAAGCTTAATAATAGTATTCTGAAATTAAACTTCTGGCCTGCCATGCAGGATTAACGCCCACCATCATCTCTGATATGTCAAACTGTTGACTTTTAACGTTTCATCACAGCGAAAAATATAGAAATGGCTAATAGTTTTACAAGAAAAGGCTGGCCGCGCTTGGACCAAAGAAGAGTACCATCGAACGGAGAGAAATCCACCGGTGAACAACAATGGGCTGCGCAGAGCGCCGGTGATGGTGGAACTGTTACAATCCCAAAGCTGCCTCAGATAAACGTGTGTTCTCTTGTGGAAACTAAAGTGAAGTCAGATTTTCAAAACACAGAAGCAAATCACCTAAAGGCATTTGATCCTTCTCCGACAATCTGCAAGAAAAGCTTACCTAGTCGTCTGCAACGTATTTCAGATTCAAAAATCCCGTTTGGAAGGATAAAGAAACCGGAAAGCCGAGACCAAGAGAAAATGGCAAATCTTAGCGCTGTTACAGGCCGAACTGATGATAATTCCATCCTTGAAACTCATCACCAGGATGGGCAGCTTCATTTCATAAACCAAGGGAAAGCTAAAATTGCACCGGTCGCGACAAGTGCATCTCAAAGATCAGTATTTTCAATACATTGGCAAATCAAAGCAGGAAGGAAATACAAAATTCAAGATAGCCAGATGTCCTACGAAGAGTTGCTCGTACTTGATGAAAAAATGGATAAAATGAGCGATTTTACATCAACGGAAAGGGAATTGCACCTAAAGGATTTTTATGGGAGAAAAATCAACCCAAGTCACAGAAGAAAGCCTGAAAACAACGATATAACGGCTTATATTCCGTGGTTTGCGTTTCAAAAAGATGAGCAAAACAACAGTGGCATTGAACGCAGATCCTTAGCAAACAATACTGAAAATAAACAGGTCTTAAACAGGGAAACAAGGGCTCGAGTTGAAGGGCGTTTTCTCGAAGCTTTAGATCTCCATTTCTATCATTATTACCTTAGAGTTCGTCCCGGAAGAAGATTGGCAATTTGCGACGAAATCGAGCGAAGAATCTTCATTGACAACGTCTCGCTGTCGTGGTACAGGGATAACCTACGCCTTCGAGAAATTTTGGATTCATGGATGCTATAATTAAACTGGGGATTCGAACGTACACTGAATTGTCTCAAATGTCGGTGCATAAAGACGGAAAAGGCAAGTTACTTTCAGCCGGGACGAATTTGAAAGGAAGGAAAGTTAGAACTGTCTTCTTCCTGCGTTGGGTAACTTTTGAATACAGTACAGTCTTAATTAGATAAAGATGCAACCGTCACTAGTTTCTTGTAAAATTATCCCTGGTTGAAATTATACTGTACTACAAACTATTGATAACGTATCTTTGGGCTAAAAATATTTATAACCGACAACCAATTACTAATTCGAATTTGGATGCGCTTGAATTCTATAGCAGTAAAAACGTGACCCTTTGCCCAAGGCTCGCAAAAAAGCAATAATTTTCACTCTCATCAATTCTTCCTCGTTTTCTAACAGTTGAAAGCTCATTTTACGAATTGCATTCATTCATCAAATGCTGTTTCCGGCATTTTATTTTCAAGGACTTGTTATCTGTGTGGGTTTATTGACTTGGCCTGTAAATATTAAACATTGATACACAAATCGCTCCGCGAAAGTAGATACGAAAAATATTGTCAGTCAAAATCAGAGCCGGCAATCGGTTTACTTGTCTTATCAATAAAAGTACGAGTTATCAATTTTTTTCCCATTGCTTCCCTTTTTCCTTCTTTTTGCACTTCACTGAATACGATGTCGAAAGAAAATATTTTAAAATTTCGTGTTTAAATGCGTTAGAAAACTGAAGAAAAAAATAATTTAGATTTAGCAGCTGCGAGTCAGTTGCTAATTCAGTTTTGATCCGGATATTTGAAATTTCGAATCTTCGAAGGAAAAATAAAATGTCAGATTCGTGCAAGAATACGAAAAGAAAAAAAAAACACCATCTGGAATGTATGATACTGAGTAAAACCTTATTGTATAACCGTAGCTAACCATTCGGAGTTACGAATACCCTGTTAATAGAACCCTGTGAGTATCTTTGTTTGTGACAAAAAAGTACGTCATGCACATTCATGAACTAAACTCATCAAGTTCGGTTCGTCTCATGAAAAGTTCGACGTTTGGCCTAGGCCTAAGATCGAGTTTAAATGACGTCACAGCAGCCATATATGAAACGGCGGCCATCTTGGTGCACAAAGAAGAACAAATCCTGTGGGAATTGAACTCTCTGCTTTTTTGTCGCAAGAAATTTGCATCGCTGGTGACCATTTGAGCGAAAAAGATCAATTATTCGGTTTTCTTTTCTTTTTTCTTTTCTACAATTAACGGTAAATTAAAGGAAACGGGTGAAAACTGCAAACGACGTTCAGTTTTAACCAATTTCGGTCATTGTCAAGTTCCATGTGCCAAAAAATTGACAAGATTGGACCAACGGGCGGTGCAAACCGGCCTTAAGCAGTTTTTGCCTTACTCAGTTTTACTGTTAACAGCTGTGTAAAGTATTTTTAAGCTCTTTTCATTGTAGTAAAATACCTTTCCTTTGTTAGGCAACAGAAAAATATACAATTTACATTACAGGATTGCCATACTGGGCTAATGGAATTGTAGATTCAATGTATCAAGATGTAGGAAATCTTTAACTTTATTCGTCCAAGATCTGTTTACAATGCAAGAATCGTTGAAGAACTGATATCTGAGATATGACTGCGATTTGAGACGAGGTATGACTGAGAGTTGAGACGAGATGTGACTTCAGTGATTTGGTTCCTCGACTAAAAGAAAACAAAAAATATACAAAGCGAAAGTAAAATAATGAGAAAACGAAATAAAAATACTAAGACGAAAATAATACTCACAAGAATTGCCAATACGCGGGAAACGTGAAAAAAAATTCGACGATAACAAACAATAACATCAATCTGAGAACATTGTTGATCTGTTGAGTTTTTGCGAGCACCTAGACTTGCCCATTATAGTCACAAAGATGACTAACGCGATTCCTTCCCAGTGCCGGCGGACAGGAAAACTTAACTCGCGAAATTTTGTACCCTACAGAAATTATAGTGCAGTTTTGGGTGGTATGGACAACTGATATGGACGCCTGAAAACTTGTCAATGCTGAGGTCCCCGGCTTTGCTGCATGTCAAGCACAGAGGTTTCTTTAGAAACGAGCCATGCTATTTGAACAATACTTACACAAGTACGAATAAACAATAAAAAAAAAAGCTTATTATTGCTATTGCTCAACTTCAAAAAGTACCACGTATAGACCTCGCTAGACGGTGGTAATAGCGCAAGACGAGACTGGGTTCACTAAAAAACGTTTCATGTAACTCTGAATCTCCCACAGGTGACAGGGCGATCTTTCATTGCGACTTCACCATCTTCTGCCCTCTGTCGGTGCTACCACGAGATCCCACTAATTTGAAAACAAGTAGTGTTTTGACAAACAAAGAAATCCGTGATCAAACAATAAAAGGAATAACTTTCTCAAAATTGATTGCTTTCTATAATCCCTGCTGTACAAAGAGTATTCCTAAGAGACTCTGGTTACTAAGTTCGATTTACAACTTTTTGAGCTGACTTTGATGAATCACTCTTGCTCTAATTGCGCGCAATTAACACACCGAAAAGCCAAAACATTTTTGCAAACAACGCTTTGATTGATGTCGTTGTTATGGAGTGGCGAACCAAGTCAAAACAAATCTTAAGCAAATTGATATTGGAAGAGGACGAGGGTGCAATGAAGCCGACGATTAGGTAAAGTACACTTTCATTCGTTGATCATTTTCACACTCTTAAACCTTACAATAGATAAGTGCTCGGTTTATATTTACCAAAAACAAATATTCTATTAAAAAATAAAGGCCATTCAGGTACCACATGAATACTGAATTATCTTCCTAGAGTTCTGTTGTTGTGCCTAAAAAGTTCATTAATAATTCCTTAAGTAGGAGGTTTTGGTAGCTTTTACGCTGACGTTTTGATCTTGAAGTTCAAATTATTCTATCTTCATTACCCGTGTCTGCTTCTGCGTAGTTTTGACCAGGAGTTTTATTGTTATTATTTTTATTTTCTTGAAATGAGAAATTCCGAATGGGCCTGTAACTGTGTTTAGACTTGTCCACAAGTCGACTTTGCGAGCGATGAAAAGGGAAGACGTTTCCCTTTTGACCATAATCGAACTAAAACCGACGCGCACTACGTACTGAGAAAATGTTTAGTGGGATGTTACAGGAAAGGGATAGTATTGAGGGTGCTGAATCAGTGTGTAATATTTGTCCTTTGAAACAAAGTTTATATGAAATAAGACATCATCGGAAAAAGTTCAGCTGCAAGTTAAATCGTATGTGCTTAATCATCACGCTTGTTCGTTAAGTCCTCTCTATGACAGTTATATTGTACTATACGGACGGAACCAAAATTTCAGTTCCAGTTAAAATAAATGAATTAGTCCCTTGCAATTATCATAAAAGACTGAGATCCATACGTGATCCAATAGTAGTTTGATGCCATTGTGCGCTGTTACTAAACTTTATATATTTTTTCAATTACTGACCTGGGTTGTGGCTTAAGGCTACCAACAGCCAGCGTCGTGACAATACTTACGACCACGCACGGAAATCTTGTACATAATACGCCGACCTTTTCAAAAATAGTTTGTGGAAGACTACACCCACGAAGGTAAATTAAACTGAAGATGCAGTATACTTCTCGCGTCCAATTTACGAACGAATTTTCCTTTAGACGAATTTTGAGTTCACGGGATATTCATCAGACTAGTTTGAACTGGGGTACATTTGCATTTTCCTGTATTTATTTTTCTTGTTATTCTGATTAAATTTAGTTTCTGTTCGGAAACTGAGTTGACAATAATATCAGTTTTGAGCAAAAATAATGGAAAATGATATAAAAAAAGTTTCTCGTCAGGAAAATCGCACCCAGTTGCCTATTCAGAATATCCAAGGACAAAACATATATACCGGCCGCTTTCCTTCTTGGTCGGACTTCTAGACCCACAATATTCTGTGCCATAATTGCGGCACCAAAAGAGCTGGGGCACCATGTTGAGTATGTGCAAACATTTCCTCATCATTACGTGCAATTCTATGGCCAAACTTAGTATTAGGCATTCCTAAGGAGAAAAAACAGAAAAGACCTTAATACAGAGATTAAGTTTGATTCTTTTTTTTTTTTTTTGCAGTACAATCTCAAGTGACTGGATCAAAGCGGAAAAGGAATTGAATGGATTTGTTATAGCAGAACATGAATTTCTTGGAGTTAAGCTCAAGACCTCAGTTATCGCCATCAAAAACTTAAAATCGACAAATATTAAGTTCAGAATTCTTAATAAAATCGAATACGAGCCATTTATGGAGGAAAGCGAGAGGAGAGTTGCGGACATCGTGCAAGTCTTTCCAAAGGAATTCCTTTTTGATCCCTCAGCAGAGCTTGTATTAAATCTTCCAAGTTGCGTGGCGTCTAAGTCATGTGGACAGTTAGTCTGCCTTTACTGTTGTAATGCGTTGGTGCGACATGGAGTTAAACAGCTAAAATGGAAGCCGCTGGACTCTTTCTCTTTTCACTTAAATGAGAGCAGAACTGAAGCAAAAATCATTTGTAAGAAAAGTGGGCTCTACACAATTAAGGTCACCCAACATCCACAAGTTACCAAAAACCTGGATATTTACACGGAATGCGAGGTTGCCCTTAGGGAGTTTCCAGGGATTAAAATCAAATTTCCTGGTGGATGTGTAGCTCGCAAAACTCCAGTAACATTAGAAGCCATTAGCAACAAAGACTTGTATAATGTACCAACTCCATTACCAGTCTCCCCGAGATCACTCGGCTCCTGGCGGCCGCCACAGCGCTGTAAACTGGAGGACCTGGACTCGACCGATATGGTTGACATTACATCCAGTCCTGTTGTTCTCATTCGTCCTTCAAGACTCCGTTTTACGCGCCCTGTTCAATTAACACTACCTCTACTTGGAGAAGATTTTGAGGACTTCTTTTCCAGAGAAAATACCAGGATTGCTGTGCTTCAGAGTAAAGTATTGGACGAAGAAACAGTTTTATGGAAACATCACTATAGCACACCTGAGGTAAGGGTTTTATTGTCAGTATAGATGCCCAGTATAAGGATGAAACAAGTTATCAAAAATTACGATTTATAATAAGCTTATTAAGGTTTTTATAAATAAAAGCAGCAAACACTGTATCATTTTGTGATAACAAGCGGTGATTAAAAAGAGCTAAACGGAGGGCCAAAATAACTATGTAGAAACTGTACATGCCAAAGTTTGAATAAATCTCAGGACAGACCTTTGTCTTTTTCACGGTCCCTTTTACTCACAGGGGAATTGGACTAATGAACGTAGTTTTGAAAGTGTCTCTATTTGTTATAACTTTATTCTCTTAAGATTGAGACTTCTGAAGACGGCGTCAAAGTGGCTTCATTCTTGATTACAAGAGGAGGCCTTTACAAGCTTGTGCGAAGGATATCAAACCAGAACCCGCGACACGTCGAACAGATTTCGGGTTGCATTTCAAGAGAACTTTGTTACCATGCCAACAACAACTTTGTCACCACCTCGTTACGAGGTCTCCTAACTGAAATTGCGGAACCTGGAAAACAGTTTGTCTTAAGGATTGCCCTGTTTGATAGCTCTCAGCCTAAAAACGCTGACCCTTGCTTTATCTCTGAAGTCTGCTCTCAACCGCTGTCCCTACCGCTTGGCAAAACACGATTTCTTGTGCGAGGCAGCTTTGAGCCCGATAGGGATGCCACTGACCACACAGAAGAGCGTACCGTTATGTTCACGGGCAAGACCACGTTTGTGGATTTCTACTTGAAGTTGAGACTTAGTGATCCAACCAAGCTCCCGGATGTCATTGGCAAAGTATCGGTGCACGGAGCTGGAGATGTGCAGTTCTACATTAACCTACACAAACCGATTCAGGTATGCTTCCACCCTTCAATTTCTTACTCCCTTGGAAAGACATGAATTCAAAATTGAAGAGCTTGATCACTCCAAAATGACTGGTATATCTCATATCCCCTTTTTTCAAGTTTTCAACGAGCAAGGAAACGATAGACACTAACTACAATAACATGAGATATGTTTGCATAGTAAATAAACAAATCGACTTTTCACTGCAGCTGTTTATTCAGTTTGTTCGGTATTTTTAACTACGCCTTTTCTAAACTCACCGGCCAGACTTTCAGTTATATGCATATGGACTTCAACTTATCACAGCCGAGCCACTTTTACTTTTTATTCGTTTATACTTTCTAGATAAGGGAGCTGGATAATTTCAAAGACAAGTCCAGAATTCGAGAGAAGAGGAGGAAACCCAAGCCCCTGATAAAGGGACAAACGGTAGCCGAATTTTCTTCTTTAAGAAAAATGGCAGAACTCGGTGAGTGAAAATCAATACCTCAACTAAAAAGCGTATTAAACTAATTCTGTATGTCTATTATTCCTTCAGGTGTTACACTGCAGTTTGCGACGTGATCACCCATTATGTACTTATTGGGACACCAAGGAAAAAGTTCATTTCCGAGTTAACCAATATACTTTTTCTTAATATGTAGAGAAGTTTGAAGTCTTGAAAAAATAAATTATATTCTCGTGCAAATAAAAAATCTTTATCTCTTGAAGTAATTTCAAATTACCCTTGTTTTTAAAATAAGCAGCGCAAAGCCGGGGTTGTGGAAATTAAATTCGAACTAAATAGCCCATAAATATTTCATCCCTTTGCCTTTGATTCACTCTCTTCATCTTCCAATAAATTAACTGATCAAATCAATTTTTAACTCGTTCGTTTTATTAACTATTCTTCTATTCGTTTGGTTGCCTTCACTTAATGATTCCTTCATCCATCCATCAATTCAGTTCATTAAATCAAAACTGTCTACCTTTACCTATTGGTAGTTTGTGTAATCATTAGTAACTGTCAAGTAATGAATTTTTTTTTTGTATTTTCAATTTTTCAGATGATGACTATGTCTCTTCTTCTCCTGGTGCAAGTGGGATATTCCGCCGATCCCTTCCGATGCTTTCCGAGACACCTTTAGAGTTTTCCGAAATGCACTCGCCCTGCACGTCTCCTCCGCTTACAGCAACTCTGCCAGAGATCCCTCAGTCTAAGTCAAGTCAAACGCATTGCATTCATTTAAGTGAGTTCGAGGAAGACTGGGAGGAACTTAGATAGTAAGCTCTGAAGTCGAACTTTTTTCGTAAACGAAGTGCCATTGCAACAAACATTCCTGTTTATGATTAATTTACTGGTTAATAAAACGTCACAAACTTGTATTTCTGTTCTGTGATTGTTTGTTATGGTCATGAAAGATGCTAGGTGAAGAAAGAATTGCACTGATTTCGTTTTTATTATTTTTTAGTATTTCGGCAGTTTTCCAGTTCTGGGTATCTTGAGAGCAACAGTGACTTTCCATTTCTACCAAAGCCACCACATTCACTTCATTAAATCCAACTCATTTTATTTACTATTTTAGGAGGTTTAAAAGATTTAAAAGTAACCCTAAAAAGAAGAAGAAATAACAACAATAAATATTAAGAGAATACTATAGTTGGGACCTGTTTACGTTAAGGTGGGGGGACCCAGATAGGTAGGTAACTCGCTTAGGTGGGGTAAACCGCCTGTCCATATAATCTCTCATTTTAATTTGATCACGTTTACATGATAGGTGAGGTGACCATATAAGAGATTATATGGACAGGCGGTTTACCCCACTTACCTGGGGTCCCCCACCTCCATGTAAGTAAACAGGCTCTTAGAGTAAACTTGTTTACCATAACTAGGGATGCTTTCAAGTATGTATTCACACTTTCTTGCCTGGAAAGCACGAAAAAAAATAATAATGCCTGTTCCGAGAGGATTCCAAATCCCGTTCATCTGCTTCAATCGCTGTTAATCCTTTAATATACGTAGTTTCCTTAAGCGAGCTAATCCATGCAGGGATGCCTAGCTGGGCACGTGCAAGTTTACCGCGCGCAGATATGAATGATTGTGACGACAGCTGAAGTCGTATGGCCGTGTAAAGAAGACGAAATCACCACTAAAAAGGGTGAATAAAATTAACACTCAACTAGCAAAGATGTCTTGTTGCGCAGCGAAAACAGCGGAAGATAGACTAGAACCTTACGAACTTCGAACACTGTACGTCAGGCAGATTAAAAGACTCGCTCAGAGGGGACTATTTGGGCAAGCTATAAGCGTGTTCAGAGAGGTGGGTTAACTGTTTTTCTTTTTCTCCTAGTTTTGTATGTGATATGACAGTAACAGACAGTCAGTAACAACCAATGGTCGGGTTTCAAACACATTTCATCATTCGCGTAACGTATTTTAATAAATGCTCTATTTTTTGGGGGAGCGCTCTCCTCTGGAACAATTTACTTTGCGGCCATTCAATGGGAAATCTCCCAATCAAACCTTTACTTAATTTCTTTTTGTGGATAAATACCTTCTGGCGTTTTCCTGGTTTGTTTTGTAATGGCTGCAAGACCACCTTCCTAGTCTCTTAATTTGGTTTAAATCTTTAAAGTTAAAAACTTTACTAGAAGCTCCACGGTATTTAATGGGATGAATAGAAACATTATTATTTAAATATTTGCATACTTTTATGATTATTTTCGTTAACCTTTTCATTTCCTTTTGCCCTCACAGCTCTCAAAAAACCTTGGAGTAACTGCTGCGACAAAAAGATTAAGTAATATGGCAATATCAGATCTTCTAAATGCCAGGGAATTCCCTGTTGATAGAGAAGCATATCGATATTTAGATAGGTATGTTCCCTTTAATTACCCATCAGTGAATGTCTTGGCTACAAGCAGTCATTTCCAATACGACCGCACTGTTAAGGACCGTAAAGAGCAGTTGACGGATCGTACGCTCCGTACAAACCGTCAGCACTGCTAACAGTCCGTATATTCTGAGCACATATAGCCTGTTTCAGGCTTCGAGACATTTCGCTGAACTGAGAAAGCGCGAACTCGAAAATAAAACCGGAGGAAACTGGGGAGAGCAGGGGTGGCGGTGCGTCTTCCCCACTATCTGAGAGCCTGGAACAGGCTAGAGCACATAAGAAGAGTGCATCTCATTATTACATTAGGGTACAGTGTGTTACGGTTCGTTCGATCAGTGCAATAGAGCCAAACAAGCACGCCCCAAATGTAATATTCCTTGTTCTTAGCCATAAAGTGCAACGAGCATATCCCAACTTACAGTAATGTTTCTCGTGGTTTCGGGTGCGACTTTCTCTTTTTGTACTAAATATTTCGTAGATCAAAACCTGATGAAATGTAATTTGACTTTTTAACATTCAGAGTTAATGGTCGTCTCCAGGGACTTTAAGTTTTCATCAGCAAAAAGCAAGAAAAGCATATTTCATATCGTCAGCAAATACATAAAAGTCAGACTTTTTTGAAGAATTGAAAAATATGTCTTTTAAGAACGGCAGAAGGACTCAATGCAGAGCCCTACTAGTACAACAGGCGACTTACAAAAGCAAATTTTAATTTTCGGAGTAACTTCATTTCTGCTGAAAAGATAGTCGTTCTGATGTTGTAAACTATTGTTAGTTAGCCTAAAGTCACTTCAAAAACTCATTAATAATTCATAAAGAAAAAACAAAAGAACTTAATGTTTAATAAGTGTCTATATATCTGATAAAGACACACGTCCAACTTTTTACCCCCAAATCTTAGTTTGGCGGTAATCCAGAGATTTTGAAGCCGTTAAAAAAACTCGTTTTCGAACAGTTCATCCTCGTTGCTAAGGTCCTCTCTAGCTCGTCCATACTGAGCGAAAGAGGATCCTGGGAACGAGAATCTGAGCAAAGAGGCCTGGAAAAATACGCTTGTTGTTGGAATAACCTGGAATTAATTCCACATCCTTTCAATTTCATAAAGCTAGTTGTTTGTTTCGGTACTGAAGTTGTTGTTGGTATTGCTTACTTTGCTCATTCTTTTATCTTGTGTTAATTTTCAGGCTTCACGAAGCTCTTTTCTTTAAAAACGAACGCCAAGCCAGCCACATGTGTAACCTGTTCATAAAACATTTCGATTTCGATCCACCAAGTGATGTTGCAAACGATTTGGAAGAAGCTAATAAAGAGACACTGGCAAAGTCCGGTTTGTCAGTCATAACCATATGTGGAATGGATTTATCATCAAAGAAAAAACTAAAGAAGCTTAAAGAGTTGTTGTCAAGATGTCCCGAGGTTAAGAAGATAGAGTTGGTGTTCTGTTCCCTGACCAACGAACGTCTTCTCGAGTTATTTGAGGCAATGATGAATCTGAAATGTTTACTCTTTTTAGGCAAGTGGCTGCTATGTTCTGAAAAGGGGACAGCGTGGCCGAGCGGTTAGAGCGCCAGAATTGCAGTTTGGAGGCCCCGAGTTCATTCCCCGACCAAATTGCTCGCTGGATTTGTTTTCGGTAGTTCCGAGTTGAACTCCTCGTTCGCACTTGTAAATAGCTAACTGGTTTGCCTCCGGCCAGTTGGGATTTTTCACTTTTTTATGCTTATTTCAATTATTTGTTTCTGCCGTATATGTGGGCCACAACGGGTTGCCCATTGGGTCACCAGCAATTGTGTTACCAATATAAAGTCAACTACCTATCCGAATGATTGCAACATCTTTTACATAACGAGCTTGTCTGTTCGGATCGTTCCCCGTTCTCACGTAACCTTTTTTCTATCTAGGTTTGCGTGGCAACAAACTTGATAACAGAGTCGTTTTCAAGCTTCATAAATTATTGGAAGAACCGGACAATTTCCCTGCTCTGGTATGGACAGACGTCAGAAACAACAAAGGGATTATTACTATTTCAGGAGCCTTCGTACAGCTTTTAATGCAAAGGAGGTTAACGTTTAACGCTGAAAAAGCGGACACACCAGATGAAAGAGTGGGCATCAGTGTTCAAGATGCCATGAACGGAAAAGTGTGTTAGGTCACATATGTCATTTATATATTTTGAGAATGATTATAATTATGATTTATTCACAATAAATTAATATTGACATATTTATGGACATATTTATAGCGTCTTTGATATTGCTTTGACCCCATTCTGAAAAAAATTGGATCATATTGGTTTGGGACGGGACATACGGTAGCTTCGGATGAACTATTTACCAACGCAAGCCGCAAGTCATCAGGATCAGTAAATGAGAAAACCGGACTTCCCAAAAGTGACAATGATTAGAGTAACTTTGAACTTGGTCACATTGTTTGGGTTTCCGTTTTGTCAATTTCATTTGTACGTTTGTGGTGGTAATAGGGACCTTACGATCCGACAAAGGCGACGTCCATAAAAAGGTCACTGAAATATAGACTTCGCATTCTTTTAGACGTTTTCGCGATTATCCCAATTCACGCTGTTACCTAAAAGAAGGGAAGTTTGGTTGGAGCTCAAGAGAGGGGGCCGCGCCCGAGTTCAGACGGAGATGGTAGAATTTATCGCCTTGCCGTTCCCGTAATCAAGTACACTTAAAGTGTGGTCATTTCACGTCTTTGTTGTGCAGGGACAGCAAAGAAATGTACAAAAAGGCGTGATGCACGTGCAGAGTTGTTGTTTTACTCATTAAACCTATTGTTTTTTGACGGTCTCCTAGCCGTCGCCGTCGTAGTTTCGTAAGGTCTATTACTAATAATTACACGACAGTGACGGCGATAATAGAACAAAAGCCTGAGCTTAGTCAACTTATTCATTATCTGATACATTGTTCGCACATAAGTGTTTTGTAAAGTTTAATTCTTTCCTCATTACCTACTTTTTTACCTAGAGTTTTTTTCCTACTTTTATTTTCTGAATTTCACCCAAATAAAAACATTTCTGCCGATAAATTTTGCCAAACAGATCATAACTTTCAACTTTAAGAGAGGCCTGACACGTCCAATAGGCCTCCATAGCTAGACTCATTACTGTCATAATGGATCTATAATGATCGTGCTTGAGATTATTTCTAAAAGCAGAAAACACAGCGACAGTCTCTACATCCAGGGACGGAAAATAGCTCCCTTTCTCCTTAAATTGGTAAGGAGATTAAGCAACGACGACTTAAAAAGTGAATTCGCGCTGCCTCAAACTTCAATCGCGCTAATATCCTATTATCATCAATTAAAGGAACGCTAATGCTTTCCCCATCGCCTAAGACATCTTGACAAATTCACTGTAATCAATTTCTCCATCTCCGTCCTCATCGAGCATATCCACAAGCTTGTCAAGATAGAAGTCACTCATAACCTTTAGACGCTTCATTCCGTCAATGAAATCCTCTCGAGACAGGCTATCACGGAATTGACAGTCAGGATCTAAGCGCTTGAACAAATCCGAAGCGTGAATCTTGTTTTTATTTAGGTATACTTTAAGGAAATCAAAAGGATTCGTCTCCTTCTTCTTGCTCACAAATGTGTCCCTCTTTTTGCAGCCGTGATGGACCACCAAGCTCTTTCCCCGCTTTTCCAAAACTTTTTTAAGTAAAACTTCGCAGTCATGGTCCAGCTTTATGTTCAGAATTCCGAGAAACTTCAATGCTGGCGCACCATTCTTGTTTAACATTTCAAAGATCTTGTTTACTCCTTGACAAGCGTTGAAAATTAAATTGTGGTTAAGGTTCAGTTTCTCTAATTTTTCACTCCCTTCCAGTCCTTTTGAAATGTTTTTTAAGCCTTCATCTGAGAGCCTGTTGTTACTCAAGTTTAATTCTTTGATCGTTGAATTTCGTTTCAAAGATTCCCCGAATTCTACAGTACCAATGTCGTCAAATCCATTCCAAGAAAGATCCAATTTTTCTAAGGAGTCGTTGTATCGTAGGCTCTTAGCAATGGCCTCTGCTCCACCCCTACGAATGTGATTCCAGCTTAAATCCAGTTCAAGAACGGAGTTGTTGTAAGTAAGGGCATTTCCAAAGAAAACTCCAGAAGCCTCCGAAAGCTTGTTGTAACTAAGGTTCACGCAAAGCAAAGAACTGTTGTTCTCGATGCCTTCAGCCAGCATCTCAGCATCCTTGTCTTCCAACCCATTACCAGAGAGATCTAGCTTTCTTATGACAGAGTTACTTGGTAAAGCTTCTGCTATGGCGTTGATCCCTTCTCGTCTGATTTTGTTGTTCGCCAGATTTAGTTCAGTGAGAACCCTATTCTTGGACAACAGTTTCCCAATGCATATTCCACCCTTTATATTAAGCTCGTTAAATGCCACGTGTAATCTGGAAGTTGTTTTGTTTCCTAGGAGAACTGAGGTAATCGCTCTAGTGCCCATCTCTCTCAGAAATCGATGATTAATCTTTATTTCATCTTGTCCAATTTCCCTCTCGAATCTGGACACCGGGGTAACCCCCAAATCTTCACATACCCTCAGATACGATTTCTTAGCGGACTGAGTTTCATCCTCATCGGAAAGATCATCATCTTCAAGGTCTGTGTCCCAGTGTGAGCTTGTGAACGACTGTGTCTCGTCCTCCTCATCGAGTCTTCCTTCTGGCCTCAGGAGAGCAAGAGTTGAATCCACTCGTTTTATTGTACTTGAAGCACTTGAACACGTTGAGCGCACACTCGGTGCTTGGTTGATCGAAACGTTGTCAAATGAATGTCTTCGTGGCATGTCTGTTTCGTCGAGGAATCTACATTTGGAAGCGACAGAGATTAATTCAGTTTTTTTAAGGACAGCTCACTCTCAGAAAATCGTGGCTTTCAGACGGAACTTTTAGAAAACTTCAAGAAGCGCTAGATTCGTGAAGCTTTCGTGTTAAATTTGTAGCCCATTTAAAACCGTTCGTAAATACTCACTTTGAGTCGCACTTATCTTCGAGGTAAAAGGAAATCATAGAAAAAGTATGAGATTTTTGGCTTTAGAAATAAAGTAATTATAAAAAAAAATTGAACAACGATCGAAAGTACTACTGACAAGTTTTTAAAATATTTAATTTCCAGTGGCAGGAGTCGGTGTCTTTTATTTAGATTACACTTAATTCAAAACAATGCGTCAGTGACCTTGAATCCATTCTATTTTGACGGATGTTAAATCGATTAGGAAATTTAATATCTTCTCTCGACTTCTCACGGAAGAAATAAATATAGCAAGTGCGGATTATTGACTATCGGGAAAACAAATTACAGTCTCAATTTTCATGTACCAAACTTTTTTCCTTGCAAAAATTTTTTATGCGAGTCAGTTTTTATCTCTGTCGAATGAACAATCTGGTTCTAAAGTCAGTGTAAACAGACCGTTTCATTCTGGAAGCCTGATATGATCGACTTATAGCAGGCTTGTGAATAGTAGAAATGGATGAATATAATTTCCATATTGCACGGTTTCAATCTTTCAAAAATGGATGTACTCTTTCAGATGATACTATTATAATATTTTACAATGTTTGCGTCAGTTGAATGCACCCATGTAGTAAGTTTAGTAGTAACATGTTCCGCATTCAAAAGCATTTCAGTTGAGGAACAAGAAGTGAAAAAGAAAAAAAACTATCAAGACTTACCTTTATGTCAGCCTATTAGTCCTGAAAAACAAAATCCTAAAATATCAAGGAACCAAACTTTTCGTTAGAAGCTGATCTTGAATTGTTTTGACCGAACTGCGTACAGTTGCTAGGCTTTTTGATAAAGTCGTTTGATTATTCCATATTGACCTGAATTATTGTTTGATAGCATTAGGATTAGCATCTTTTGTGCCAAGGTCTCTTGAGATAAAATATGTCATTTATGCAGCAGCTTTCTCAATTGTGCTGTTAATTGCAAATTAACTTAAAACTGGCCAAGTGAAAAGGTAGTCTGCTTTCATAGCAAACTAGGATTAGTTTTCGTTCTTTACAACAATGCTAACATGCGTCTGAACTTGCGTTATTTATCCAGTGTGAAGTCAGATTTGTTTCGGGGCGGGGGCAGAAAGGGGCGCGATTTTATTGGACTGAAAAGAGCTCAAGTCTAAAAAACGTAAAATAAACAGAACGAGTCTAAAATCCAGCCTTGAATGATGAAGCTTGTTCAGTAAACGATTCATTAAAGTGAAAAAAAAAAAAAAAGAAGAATAAAAATTTATTCTCCGTAAAAAGGAATTGAATTTTTCCTCAGCGTCCTCAGAAAAAACACTCCCGGATGGTGACTACCCCCTGTTTAAAGTGTGTTTTCCTATTGTTGCAGTCTCTTTTTGGCGTTTCTCGCCGTCCACTGCGCTCGTGCAACAAAAAATCTTTTAGGACCTAGCTGGACATAAGTATAGGGTTGAAGTGATTTAAAGTCGAGTGTGAAATTTAGTTTTGAGATTTGTTTGCCTTTATAGCAATATACTTAGAGAACAATTAAACTATAAATAAATGAATAAACATGCAGTCCAAGACTATCTCAGTAAATCAAACCTAGCCCTAACCAATATAGGCAATATTTAGCCATTTAAACTGTTTCCTGTCGTCTGTTGCAACAGGCCTGGACAATTTTCGTTCTAGGCATGCAATGAAAAATGGAAATGTTAGACTAACTTTTTCAAGTTTTAATACTAGAATCGCCAAAAAAATATCATGCCTAGTTCTCCTTGATGAAACTTGTTTGGTAACTTCTGTACAAGCTAGAGATTTTAAAGTGTATTTTGTGTATGGGTAAAGGAACTAAGTAATGACTTTAGCGAAGTGGTAACCAAAAACATCAATATCGTGGTAACATAGCCCTATTAAGCATGTTGACCCATCTGGTTTTATATTTTAGGTTTCGTACATTTTCTCTACTTCCTTGAACAAAGATCAGAAACGTCAACAATAATTCATAAATTCAGCTCTTTTAGTCCCTTTGTCCCTACTAGCTAGAGGTGATTGACCCTGGAACCGTGTTCAACTACCTTGCCTTCCTCCAGTGCCGTTTACAACTTTGGCTGCGCTTAAGAAAAACCGCACCTTACGGTCTAATGGCGCAGATTCACCGACTATTAATTCTGACAAACATCACACTGTTAAACACAAGTGTTATATTTACTTCCATTATTATGCTATTCCCTACTCTGCTGCCATTAAACTGCAGTACATTATTTTTACCAGAGTGATAACAATAAAGGGTCAATAACCAAATTGACTTGTTATATTTCAAAATTCCGCAGTTCGTGAGAGGTTGCCGTCAACTTCCACATCACAGTTACTATTCCGTATTTTTTTCGAATTAACTCCTTTAGTTTACTATTATTGTTCCTTGTTTCATCTCTTTTCAATTTCCTTGCCCCAAAGTCAATCGGGAAAGGTTTTTCGTAAAACAATTGAGTGGTTACGAAACATTCACATTGCATAATATTATGAAACAATTTTTTGCTCAGCCTTAGGGCGGGAAAATACTTACTGTTACCGGCCTTAATATTTTGAAGTACAAAAGTTTTAAAATTCTCATCAGAGCTTTTTCTATGTTATAAACAACGCTATTGCTCAGATGTTTAAAATAATCTTAAGTCAGTAATTTGTAACTGAATTAATCACTTATCTGACGTGGAACACGTCAAATGTTTCTCGGCAACATTTACGCCGATGAAAGGCCCAGCAAATAACACTTTTTTATGTCAGCGATCTATTCCGTGGTATGTCTGTGTGATTTTGCCCCACTGGTTTCCTGATACTTTGTCTTTTATCCTCTCCAGCTAGCTGTGCAGCCCTCGCCCCTTCAGCTGTTTTCGCTTCAACTGTTATGGGTCCAAATCCTACAGGTGAATTAACAAGCGTCTCTCCATCAGAGTTAGGAATGCGCTCCGTTGTGTATGATCCTCCCTGTGTGATTTCTTCGCGTCCTAAAACTTCTGGCTCCGATGCATCCAAGCCATACTCTCGGAAATCGTGCAATCGCCTGCGAAACTGAGGTTGCCGAAAAAGTCTTCTTGACAACGATGGGTATCCGTATGTCAGAGAAGGATGATGGAAGAACGATCTGTCTTGAAATAAAGTTTTTGGAGAAAAACTTCGAATCGAACCTAAGACATTTTGAGGGCGTGTAAGACCATTGGAAACTAACGACGGCATTAAGTCTGCAGGAGCGAGGGTTGTGGACATCATACGTGACGTTAATGGTGAAATCGTGCGAGACGATAACGCAGAAGATGGCCCGACATCGGAATTTTCCAAGGGTGACACAAGAGACGATGTCATATAACGGAGTGGCGTTGACTCTAAGGGAAGAAGGTTTCCAAGCTGTTGATACCCTGACATACCCAGCTGCTGCATGCCTGCAGACTGCAACCCAGGTACTGTCTGCATTCCCACCGGCTGGACTGCTAAGGACTGTGCTGAGATAGGCTGCTCTTGCATCAGCTGCTGCAGTTGAAGCTGACGTAATTGTGGCTGTGCGGATGGCTGAGTGACCATAGCCTGTAACGGTTGCACTTGCTGGAGCGTCTCCAGAGCTGGAGTCAGAATGAACTGTCTCTTGTAATCTTCTGATGTCCCGTCCTGTAACAAATCATCAACATTTCCAGATTCTTCCGGCAAAATTGGCTCTAGCAGAGTTTGGCGTTTAACGTCAATTTTCCTTTTTTCCTTTAAAATCTTATCTCTAATTGGTTTCTTTTTCTTCTTTAATGACGCTCCGGGGACCTTGGATCTGCTCACTAATGGAGATCGCTGCAACATGGGTGGAAGTGAGAGGTAAGGGAACATGGATTGCTGGTAGCCTAGTGAAGATCCTGTGGACAATAAATAGGGCATAAAAAATCATTGCAATCCTCTCTACTCAAACTACGCGAAACTCGTTTCCTAAGAAGAAGGCTCTGCATCTGCAGGAGATGCCCCATTTCATAGCGCTGCTTCGTTTTCAAATTGTGTAGTTGGATATCTTTAAATCTTAGCAACAATATTTAGGACAAACCAAATGTTATGGACGATATCTCTGGCCGCTGCCATTATTTTATACGATGAAAATTAAAAGTAGCGCTCTGAACATTACCTTGAAACTATCTGATGAACTTTACGCATGATTTTTTTTATTATTTTTAAGTTTCATTTCAGCATGTTTGAGCCACGACGTAGCATACTTGTTCAGTACTTTATAAGTAATGTAATGTGGGTTCTGATTTGATTACATGTTGTTTACTGTTTGGATGCTTACAAATATTGAGCTCAGAACACTGGAGGAAAGCTAAATGATCTCTTTCTGCCGAGGAGTGTTAATAGGAAGGTTAGATATTCGTAGCTATGGTTAAGAACATTCCTGAACAGGATTGCTGGTCTGAAAGCGACGAATATTCTTGCATCACAGTCAAGCAACTTACGCACAGAGTCAAAATGTAAGTCAGAGGGTCACTAACATTTCCCTTCAGGACGACACTCAAACGGGTCATCACTGTATTTTCCTTCTAAATGCTAAGATCTGAATACAAAGGATACAAAACTTATAAGCTACAACACTGTCCAGTCGATTTAAAAAAAACGCACACATACATACACACTGGGAACATACCAAGTAATCCCTGGAGAGGGTAGCTTTGTGACCTGTAAAGCTGGGATAATGGCGAAGGAACGTTTGCATTCCCATAACCCATCATCGCTTCGTTGTACTGACTTGCTCCTAACGTTGAAGGAACGTACCCCAACCCTCTCTCCGCACTGAAACGGGATGCGCCACCAACACCCAATACACTTCCATATCTTAAACTTTGCGCCGCGCTCAGCATGCTTCTTTGTCTTAAAATAGCATTGTACAAGGAGGCCAGGCTATTTGAATCGCTGTTAAGTATTTGGTAACCACTCAGAGCCTCGGAATTCTCTGGATAACCTGCAGCTGTTGGAATAAGTCCTCTTGTCAGGCCAGTCTCTTGGAGACTCTGCTGCGTGGCTAGCTGTCCCGGTGATGCAAACATGCGGGCCTGGGAATTTTGCCCGAAATTGTAAGGCCCTAGGATAGAATTTAACGGTAAAAACTGACGGACGGGGGTATATGATAAGCCTCTATAAGCATTAAGACTGCGCAGAGCACCCAACGATGACGGTTGAATAAGCTGAGGGGCCGCGAAGATGAATTGGCGCTTGCGAGATCTGATTCCCTTTTTGTGTTTGTGTGCTCGGGGTATGTCAGATTTGTGGGTTCTGACATTGACTTCATCTTTTCTGGGCTTTGGGAACTTCTCTCGCTTGATTCCATTGTAGAACCAATTGTTACAGTAAGGAAAGTGAAAGCAACCGTGGTAAAATACGGCTGGATGGTGATGAACGACCGGTGGCGGTGCATAATGTTGTGCCAGATGAATCGATGGATGAAATATTGGAACAGCCGGAGTACCGGGTTTGGCTACAACTTGAAGAGAAGCCGGCTTAGCGTTGACTTTTACCCCAGCGGGATTCGCATTTACTTCGATCTCGGCGGCCTTGTCGTCGACTTGAAAATGCGACGGTTCACCGGTCTGAGTCACTGTGCCACCATCCTCAGGGAATGGTCTTGGTTTAACGCTTCTATTACAAGCGAACAAACAAAGAAGACAAAATAGCAACCGAACGCTATCACCAAAATTAGACCATGTCATACTTAGATTTGGCTTTCAATTCAAGAACTTGTTAATAGTTTTGGCTAACGAAAAGCCACATTTCAGAAGCTTAGAAAGGTTAAAATTTTGCCTCGTTCTTTCCATTGGATTGAAACTTTTGGTGACATCATGACGGGTTATAAATGATAAATAACTTTTATGCACTCTTCCAACAAGTGGCTCAATTCTATCTGATGGATTTCTCTAATCATCTTTATAAATGCCATTTTTCTAAGAATACAGGGGCGTTTCTTTGTGTAAAGAAGACGCAATAGAAGACAGGGGGTATTAGTAGAACATGTGTCTGCCAGAGGAATTTACACCATCGAAGGGAAAGTATAAGCAATCTTCTAAACTAGTCGATGATAGAATGGACATGAAGCGGTGTTAAAACTATCACTGTAGTCGCAAGTCACAATCACGTCAACTTTTTTAAAACTTCCTAGTATCGAACCTCTCAAGGGAGCGTTGGCGATTTGCTTAGTCGTTCAACGTTTGACTTCTGCTTTAAGAGAGAGGTTATAAAATTATTGAGTAAAACCATACGTGACGTCTTGAATCTACCACTGGTTGCAATTCACCTTTCGTAAATCAATTTCACGATTTAAATATTACGACGAATAGACCAAATTGGTTTGAGCCTATTCGCGAATTCATTCACAGGCTATGCGTCGTAAAAGCTTGGTCTCCGATCCATGGTCAAATGAAATCACATATTAAGGGACTGCCACGGTAGTTCAGTCCATTTTGTTTAACTTTGCTAATTACAAGCTTCAAAAACAGCAAACAATCAAATTCTATCATGTGAAGAATCTTTTCGTGGTAACATAAATTCTGAATGTGTTTCCCGAGCTTTACAGGTTTTAACAAGATACTAGTAACAGAGATAAACTTCAGTAACTGAGTGGCTTAGCAGGTTTCACTGAGAACCCGATTTGTAATCCATTGCAACCTTCTGGAAATTTGGTCCATCCCGACCTTCTGTCCTACCAAAAGATATTGTTTTTTGTATTCAACTCGTCTAGTCAGTAAGCTGTTTCTAACAATTGGCTGAAGTTGGCTATTTTGCGTTACAAAACTGACACTTTCTTTTATTAGGCTTGCTAGAAATAATCAAAGAATGCAACAACATACAGTATTTTAAAAGTTATAGAGTTTCTCGTCATCTTCTTTACTGCAAGCGTCTATATAACAAAAGAATACGTTGTGATAGGACGAAGGAACAAGATTTTTTAGCTCACCTGTACAGGAACACCACTTTTTCCACGACATTTACATGTAGGTCCGCCGCGCACGGTCCACAAATTGCATATTGCAAAGATCACCGGTGATTCGAAGGTCAAGCTTGTACCTGAATAGCATATTCTTCATTTTATTAAGTTACTTATTTTAAGAGAGGCGAGAAAAATGTATTTCAAAGCCCCATTAGCCTGATTGGTGTTCATAAAAATTGATGCTCCAGCAGAAACAATAAGTATAAAAGAAAATTGAATCTCTTCGCAGAATCAATTTCCTTTTCCAAAGTTACAAAGCTCGAATAGGATGACGATGTTGTGGTTCAATTTTATTCTTGGTTTAAATTTTATTTTCTTTTGTTTCAAAATCATTACCATACAATACCACCCAAAAACAAAAAATAAGGACAAAATTGGACCACTTTAATTTTACGATATACGTCATCAGCTGGAGAGCGTCTGATCGTTTGTTCGGCCCATGTGATACATTCAGCGTCAGTGTACGAGGAACGGTCATGGTTGTCTCTGTTGAGTGGTTTACAGTACAAGCTCTTATACATTCGAAATGAGAAACATTTCTGGCATGCTAAAATAGTGAAGAATAAATTTGTATTTTTTTCCAAGAGTTTGTGAAAAATTTCTTTTTTTGACTTGGCGTAACAAAACGGTAGAGTAGGTAAACTCAGATTGTAACGTAGACGAACGTGCGTGCAACAGTTATCACCCGCGCGCGCCTTTTGTTTAAGGGCTAGCTTATTCCAGGAGTTCAGATAGTCCTGGAACAGGCAATTTAAAGGCCATGAAGAGGAGGGAGATTAGAGCTCGGCGCTACCGGATGTTCTCTGGCTGTGGGTGAAAATTTAGTCTTTAGAACAGTTTAAAAGAAAGGATTCATGGTCAGCCGACAGAAAATAATAACTTCCATATTTTACTTTGTAATGACACATATTACAGAATGCGGAGAGAACGTCAAAATCTCTAGCTTCATCTTCGCAGACGAATGGCTTGGGGCCAAAATGTTTTGATTTTGATCCAGCTCAATCATTGATGAGCGATTCTAAATCAGAATACTTGGAACAACTGTTGATCTGTTTAATTTCAATAAAGCCGTATCATTTTAAGCCTATCACAGACTTTAGTAAGTATTCTGTAAAGGCATGCAAAAGCACAGGAGATCAAAAAGGCGGAAGTTGCTGTCTGTTTCAGTTTATGCATGACCATGCTTGGGGGATAGGGGAGAAGTTGATTGTCAATTCTTAAATCTCCTGTAGGTAAGGTCCCATCGTTTACTATCTATTTCCCGTCCGTTAAGCCCTCTCCTTCCCCTCCCCCTCCCCCTCTTTCACTTTTTGGCTCTCACTTCATTTCTAGTGCGGCCAAAACCGAGAATCCCGTTCCTCGGTCCTTCGTTTCTTCGAAACAGCACAGAAACGCTTGCTAGCAGGCTATAGACCATGTAACAGCGTAAAATTCGCCACGAAACTGATGACAATGAATTCGCTTTTATATTTCCTCGTGAAATCGTTAATTGACGTGAGGTACTGTCCACTGCCCTCACTAATCTGGTTCACGATAGCATTATCATTAGTTCCCAAAAGGCGCCCGGGCGTATCATCATAGCCTTCTAAAGTTCCAGGATCATTGGTCAAGTACTTTTTTTATGTCAGACAGACCTAAGTATGGGGCTTACTAATTATGAACTATATATGAACATCGCAACAGCATGTCAGTTACACTTTCCTTAAAGTTTCCAGTATCGACTAAATTCTCTGATCTATTGAAACTTTAAACAGCGCCCTAAAAGACAAGTGAATGAACTTGAAGCCACTCTTATCAGAAATCGTTAATTTTATTTTGATAGCAATTATTTTAAACAAATAGATTACTTTTTGTTTTTCGGAGTGCACAAAGGATCACTTAAATGTTAACCGTACGCTGATCTTGCCTTGGGAAGCCCGGGCTCGGTAGGAAAAAATCAAGAACATTGGGGCATTGTTTCATCCATGCGCTATATGTCAAGCTCCACGGGTCTTGGGTGAGAGTCCTTTGGAATCGCTTTGAAATCAAATTATTCCCTTGATCGTAGAGAATCTATGAGTAAATTGGCCACTTTTTCAGCTGTTTGGTGTCTTCAGGGCACTTCTGCGAAAAAGAAAAACGAAATATCATTATACAAAGCTCCCACCAATAAATTTACAGTAACCTGAAAGAAGTAATCTCGAACAAAATCAATGTGCCATCAGTCTGTCCGCCAAACGTTTTTCCTTTTTTCTAGGAGTTCAACGACGGCGCAAAGTATGAGAAGGAGAAGGAATTTACCAAACCGCACCCCTTACCCAAGTGGTCAATAACGTTCCCCTCATTACTATTCTTATTCTTCTTCTTCTTCTTCTTATTATTATTATTATTATTATTATTATTATCATTATCATTACCTTTGTCATTGTAATTATCAATTTAACTTTATTAGTATATTATCAATTTTATCATAATGATTATTATTTTCGCATAGGGCCACATCAACCCTTAAGGATAAAAGTGAAGGTCTACAAATACGCTAAGAATTCTCGTGCCTACAATCAGGGACAAAAGTAGTTGACACAGTTGTTTAAAACGGGTGCTTTTAACAAACATTTCATTCATTTATTATTTCATTCCTTTTAAACGCCGTAAATCCCCCGACCCCCCGAATCAATGTTGTCTGAAGTAAAAAAAAGACTTGAGGGTCTAAAATTCAACATTGATTTTGGGGGCAAGGGGTTGGGGTAGACAGGGGAAGGGGATAAGTATATCCACTATGCAAAATGGGCCCATTTTACGGAAGTGTGTCAACACTTTTGTCCCTCATTGTCTGAATGTAAAATTGTGCTACTGCACACAAGTTGAGCCGTGTATAACACTGATTTTAACTGAAATTAAAGGAATGAATGACATAATTATGTTATTGGTGGTGGGGGTGACATAGACTTATTCGCGACCGAATTATAGGGCCAATTCGAATTACGCGATGACGTAATAAAAGGGCTGCGATATCCAGAATTAACGTCGATATGGTTTACAAGCTAAAAACTGACGCTGAAACTCGCGCCTATGTACAACTTTTGATGAATTTCAAGGGGGTGCGTACTGAAAATATTTTTAATAAAGTGCATATTTCTCGTTCTTCACTTTATCCTA